GTGTGCGATAGACTTACCTCCACGTGGTAAAAGTCTATTAATCGGCAGTTGACTTCTCACTTCAAACTACCATCACCCCCACTGTATGTCATATTCGACCCCTACCACAGTACTCATCTTACCCTTTCTGAGCCTTTGTGTCTGTTTCTTTTACACCTTTGAAACACCCTTCTATTCCCCCTCCTGAATTCTTCTCACTTTGATGTTCCTCCTCCCCTCTGTGAAGCCCGAAGTCAACTAAATGGCTAATGATAACTACCAAAACGCCTGCCATTTGTTATAAATAAATAAATTAATTAATTAATCACGGTCTGGAATACATAACGATTCCTTGTGGATGACAAAGCGTTATGTGATTTCGCTTTTTCGGTTATTACTATCGATCAAACAGTACAGCCTATGGGGGGAAGATCACAAAGAGAGAAATTAAAAGATCTTGTCAAATAAAGTAAGCATCCGGAATCGTCAAGCAACAAGTGACTAAAAAATAGTAAAATTGAAAACAATGAGAAGAACCAAGAATTTAAAAGGATGAAAGACTCAAACAGGTATTCTATCATTACACACATTTGGAGTGGTGAAGAACTCGACTTCTACCAACCCAATTCGTCAGCCACACTTAGCCAGTGCGGCTGTCGAATTCACCCACTCTGTGCAGTGATTTTCACTACAACTGCAAAATTCAAGTTTATGCCTACTTTCCCTTTGATCATAAACTATAACACCTGCACTATGAGGGCATAACACGGCAAATGAGGGGGCCACCGTAGCATTCTCCATTCAAAGCTGCTAACGCGCACACATGATCAGCAACCAATGGAGTAAGAAGGACTAATTAATACGTGAAGTGGTTCACTGGAATCGGGTTCATCTTCCATTAGTATCCACGCGATGGTGGAATAAAAATATTAATACAAAGCATTTAAAGCAGAGAATTAAAAAAAAGTATAATTAAGAAATTCGTGACGATTGCCTTTACATAAGCACCGCCCAAAATTGAACAGTTATGTCATCCAAGTCGTTTTATGCAACTTAAAGAAGACGCCCAAGGCGACACAAGGAAACAGCATCAAAGTAAATTAAAAGAATAACACCATCGCGGTATTCGATGTGGTTGAGGTAGAGCATTAATGACATCGCACCCCAAAAACCCACACAGTTCCAGTTGTGTAATTATTCAATATATATTGAACCTGAGGTTATTTTAACAAAAGAATGCAACAACCTCAATAAAAATAAATAGAAGGCGTTTCCCCTTTGAGACGTTTCAAAAACATGAGTTATTTAGTGAGCATCCCATTGTGGCCAAAACATAACCAAGAAATAGCATATCTGCTATTACGCCAATTAAGGAAAACACAAAAGAAACCCAAAGGCGGAAGCAACAAGGAAGCAGTGTGCCGATCAATCAAAATAAGCAGAGACTTTTAAATTAACAGCAACCTCTATTCTGTGAGTTATGGAACTCTCAGTAACGCAAACAATGATTAATCGCTTAAAATACCCACCCCCCCAACAGATACAACAGGTACAGATATTGTTGGATGTAAAGATACAGTTGGCAAATGTATCAAATCATGCCAAGATAAGTGAAAATAAAACACTGTAATGGTAAAACACGAAGAAGGAGATATAAATGAATCGAGTAAAACTGAGAAAAATGAAGATAGAAAAGATGGAATAAAATGTTCAAAAGGATAACTCACGTAAGCTCTGAAACAGGAAGTTTTGAAGATACAGTATGCTCGCCATTTGGAAACCAATGCCTCCGGTATATTCTGAAGACCAAATCCTATAAGAGGAGTTAGAATCTACAAAGAGACTTTCTAAAACATTGTCATAATCTATCAATGACACTCATTGCGATCAAAATTTGTTCGAGTAAGCAAATGAAGTCTTACTACTTCAACGTGGAATTAACTTCATGAAAGAATCAATCAGCGCAAATGATATAGAAAATGCTTACTGCATTTCTCGTAGAGCGAAGCAGTTTCAGAAGCGAGAGCGGCAATAATTCCTGGATCGTGTTTGAGTTCAATAGCCCGAGCAATTGTAACTTCTTGAGCCTCGGCTAAACTCTGGAGAATATAAGACTCAATAACAATAGGGTCCAGATCGGAGCCCTTCTCGAATTTTCCACTCATATTAGGAAGGAGGTTGTTCTTAATATGATCGAATAGACCGGCAGCATTTCGAAGAGATTTGTGAACATCCACAGCCTGCTCGGTTTCGACACTAAAAGCAAGGTAGAAAAAGTAAAAAAAGGGCTCCTACGTGTTGGAAGATGCAACTTTTGCAGCATGTTTTGAAAACCACAAAGCCAAATTGAAACAAATACCAATTAGTTCGTAATTTGCATCTCGTAAGGATCTAAAGGGATGGTAAAAGGGAAGCGAGTGAAACAAACATGGGAAACTTGTGTTTAACATCGAGTGAATCTGTCCAAGTATATTCGATAAGGCGACGAAGAGATTGAGATTTTTTCTGAATAGCTGCAGCAGCTTCAGCCTTTTTCGCTTTTTTTGCTTCTTTTTCTTTCTTCTTAAGTTCTTTTTCCTCTTGTTTATCCTTTATTGTAGAGTCAATTGGCGTTGGCTCATCACTTTTGTCATCACTATCACTATCACTTTCATCCGCCATGGCGTCACCCGTATCAGGAGAAGTTGCAAACCCCAAAAGAAAGGCTATATATTGATTAGCTGCTTCAATCACGGATGCTCGCGTGCAGGTAAGATCTGATAAACACCTCATTAGGGCAGCCCTTTTCTCTTGCATGTAATTCAAGTACATACGAGAAGGTATATCGGCTGCAACTGGTCCTAAATCGAAATTCGGATTTCCTGAGGCTTTGAATGCATTTCTATGGAACCACTGTGACATAATTAGTGAACTATAGGTAAAAGTAGATATTCCTCTGAGAAAGACAAAACACCGGCAGCTTTCAGGTTAGTTAAAACGAATCGAGCAATGTATAATCTAAAGTTTACAAGTGAAGAATAAATTAAAATTTTGAATTAAATTATTTGCATAATATGATATAATTCAAGGTAAATGTTTTATTTGTGTAATTAAGGGAGTGTTGCATATACCAATTTTTCTGTACTTTCATGTTCTATAGAGTATGTAAAAATTGCATTAAACATTAAAATTTTTTTGATTTCTGATAATTATAAGTGAATTTTTTCTAATATTTTGTAACGTACCTAGAACATTTAGTTGGAAGCAATTTTCCTATTTTGCCTATAAGTGGTATGAAAATTGATAAACAAATTTCATTTTGAACAAAATATTAATACTAAAGTGGTTAAGTGACTATTTTCATAAACCCGTGCTTTCTTCCTGTCATTCGAATCTTAATTCATTTCATTTCTAAATAAAATTCGTATGTGCCTTCAATCGTAACATTTCTCATGGCAACCAGTCCAAACTCCATTCACTCAACTCGTCTGAACCCAGTCTTGAGTGAGTATTAAGTCAATTTTTCTAAATGCCATAGACTTAGAATAGTCGTCAGGTTACTTTCTATGTAGAGTAAGATCATAAAAACGGTAAGTATTTAAAACCAGTCATTGATTTTAGTGCCACAGAAAGACCTGAGTATTTGACCTTTGTCATGAATTTTGGCACCTAAATGCCCGAGCAACACTAATATTTACTTGAAAATCTGAGTTGTTTAGTGCTGTAAGTGCTAGGTACAGTTCCATTATTGCCAATAATCCCTTACTCAAGTCGTTGAGTGGTCAACTATTGTGTAATACTGAGTCACATCAGTTGAACTTGAGGTTGGAAGAATACTCACCTATCTTATCGTATATCAGTACCTAATAATGAGGCCTCATGTGCATTGTGAACGATGCTCATCTTCCACAATCGAAAAACTCAAAGATATCACTTTATAAGCTAGAAAACAGAAATCACGGTAACAATATCATCGTTTTTATAGGAGTTCCCTTAATTCAATTGGGTAAAAATCATCAATTCCATTAGCTAATAGTCAAGTGTTTGACAAATGCAGATGAGTTATTCTACTATTAATAATAATGCCAGAGATTAATATACCGTCATAAGCTTTACAGTTATCCTCCACGTAATTGTGGGAAAACGTTTGATTCGTCACTTCAGGAGTTGTATTTGGCGATATGATTTTTTAACAGAAGAAAAGTTATCAGAACTTCTGTCCAAAGTCAAGCTCTTGGTGGGCTTACTATACTAAGCAAAATATTTTAACGACATTTTATGAATTCGTTTTGATAAAATCCATGTTGAATTTCTTCCGCAAGCTCATGTATACAGTTCTCGGAAAATAGACGAAAAAATATTTCATCACAACCTCAAGTATTCTATTATGGAATCTATCATGGAGACGGAATTAAAACGCAGAAAATTAACTTTGGCTCAGTTACTCGACGAGACATTCGTCTTATTCACTTCAACCCCTTTTATTCCGTCGAAGGATCTCAGTTGTCAGCCACTAAATTATTCGACCAATCATCATGATCCTGGAGGACGAATCATAAAATTGAAATTTTAAAAAGTGAGCCACCCAGTAAGAAAATAGGAATTCAAAAATCCAGACAGCAAGATTCATACTTTCTTGAAATCCAACTTCGGTTATTTGATAATTTAACTATTGCCAGAGTTGGAAACATGAGTTACCAGGCGGCAAGTCGCTAATCGAATATTATGCTGCTAATACTTAATTGGCAGTTGAAACCACTAAAATTTGTCCCCCCTTATTTTGTCGCGGTTAAACACGAAAAAAAAACAATTTAGAATACACGGTAAACTCCGTTGAAATTCTAGTTATTTATTTTAAATGGCAGACCTTACGCTTGTAATCATTAGCCCTTTGTTTGACTTCGGTCCTCGTAGAGGGAGGAACATCAAAGTCAAGAGGGGGAACTGAAGAGTGATTCACAGATGCAAGAGAGACAGACGCAAAGGTGGAGAAAAAGGTTCTGTGAGTACTGTGGAAGTGGACAAATATGACATTCAGTGGGGTCATAAATTTTTCCGTTTTTATTATAGAACTGAAGTTTACCCTGTCACGAAGAATAGGAGAATTGAATTTGTGCGTTTCTACCAGTGAAGTTATGGGCGATTACGCCAAAAATCAATACCCATTATCAACGTACGAGAGAGAGAAGGCACGGCGACTATCCGTAAAGTAAAACAACGTCGAGGAGATAAAATTATGAAAGTTGGAATTAATGATATAGAATGATATATTTTTAAATTAAGTGATTTCGAAATTAGGGAAAATTTTTTTATTTGGCAGATTTGAAATTGCTATTCACATTAAAAAACGACAATTTTCATGAATGAAATGGTAAATGCTTTTATAATATGCAATTTTTCGGATTTCCAATTTATTATCTTAAAGATAAGCTTGACTGCGCATTTATTATGTGTTAATTTAATTATTTAGATTTTACGATATTTTGTGAAGATGCCTTCATTAGACATTTTTTAATACTTGAGTTAAAACTAGTTCAAACTTTATTATTCATTTAACTTGACCCGTCAGTACAGTCTGGATGGTGGAAGTAAAGACCAGAAACCGACACTAGTGCATTCTCGAAACGTAAATCTGATTATATAGAGGAGTCAATTGATTATAGTTGAGGTCCATCAAATTTAGACCTTATCGGGCGCATTGGGCACATGAGAAATTTATTTCAAATGGCAGGCATTATGATAGTTACCATTAGCCATTCAGCTGCTTTCGGGCTTAAAAGAGGGGAGGGGAACAGAAAAGTGCTTCAAGGATGCAAAAGAGATAGTCAGACACAAAGGCAGAGAAAAGGTAAGGTGAGACTGTGGAAGCGGTGAAATATGACATAGTGTCGGGATAGAGTAGTTAGAAATCTGGAGTCAACTGCCCGTTAGCAGATTTTTTGCCGTATGAGTATACGTTGCCCAGGGTGCACCACGTGGAGGTAAGTCTATCTCACTCTGCAGGTACATGCGAAATGAAAATTTGCCAATGTTAGTACCTTTTGCATACAACTAGAACAAAATTGAAAAAATTAAAAACGAAAATATATGCATTGTAGCATTCGAAGTGGTGCAAAAGGCGTAAGATGAATCAGGCCAAATGAAGGTGAAAGCGGAGGAATGCAGAAATGGAATATCTCAACGATAATTTGGCACGGCCTATTTGTCGATAAATGAATTCGCAT